TATAGAAATTCCGGTCTTTTTTGACTTTTTATGGCATTCTTTCCCCAAAAATGAACTAAATTGAACAAACATACCATATAAGGAATCATTACTTAATCAATGAATCGATTCGGTAATTAATCGATGATTTCGATTGATTAATTGATTTGTAAAATTGACAAACAAACATTCACAACTGACATAACCAAATGACCTTTTTTTAAAGAAATTTCAAAGTAATTTCATCAAATGAAATGTACAAATTCTTTTAAAAACATTTAAATGTCGGGCATTTGGTTTTGAAATTTGATTCATCAAATATAATTGATTTTGATTCTTGAATTCTTTCTTGATTTTCCCTGATAGAAATTTTTTTCTAATTTTCTCTAATTGAATAGCCCCCATAATAATAACAATAAACGACTTATAACGTTACTTTACTTCAACTGATAGAATGGTTATTATAATAATAATAAAATATTATTATTTACAAAGCACACGAAGAATTTTGAAGCGATCATCACGAATAATATTCATTCATACCGTTCGTTGGTTAGTTTGATTGAAGAATCAAGAATTAAGAATTTGGAAAAAAACAAATAACAATTTTATCACGACCGAAACAGACATTTTTTGTTGATTTTTTTCGTTTGGGATGTTTAAACTCTTTTTTTTGAAACAAAAAAACGAAACGAAGAAAATTTAATTCAATTTATTCCAGAATTTTCATCATCATCATGATGAATATGAATTTTGAATGTACGTTTTTTTTGTTGCTTGCCAAAAAAAAAATAAAGAAAAACAAAAACTTGAAACATCAAACATAAATCTGTAAATGAAAAGTGAAAGCTTTTCTTCTTTTCTTTTCTTCTTTCTTCCTTCTACAAATCATCACATTCAAAATTATTATCAGCATTATTATTTCAGGGAAATTTTCCTGAAATTCTTCTTCTTCCTTTTTTAATAAGGTAAATTGGTTTCATGTTTTATTTTTTTGGATTTTTTCAGAATTCAAACACACACAGATCAAACAGAGAATTCTCTCTATGTGTAAATTTTGACAATTCTGTGCCTATCCAAATTATCTTCCTGTAAATAATCTTTGAGATCATCATGATGGACACAAACACAAATTGACCGGAAATATATTAGCTGCTGTTACTGATATATCCATAAACCTGGATATATGATGTGTGGATAATTTTCCATCTTTTCTAATCATCATCATCTAGTACTAATTTTCTTTCCTTTTCTTTTTTCTATTTTTAACCTTTCAACATTTCATATTTCTGAATATATGAATAATCTGATTAGGTTGTTGATTAAAGTCAACCAAGATACAATGAAACAGAGTAAAGAAAAGAATTTTGCCAGATAACAGAATATTTGGTATTAATTTAATGAACATTATTATTAACAAAAAAAATGGAAATTTCGTAATTATCTTAGGAAAAAAAGATGCAAGAAACAAAAATGAAATTCTGTTTCGGTTTTGGGTATCTGGTATTTTCATTGGGCTGCCTGCATTTTCAACAAATTTTTTTTCAACCGAAATTCAACGAAATTGAATGAAAAATTGCTTGAAAAACAAACGGAAGAAAAAACAAAAAAAAAATCCAATGTTTGTTTATTATTTTCGCAATGAGAAAAATGATATTTCTGGTTTTCTTTTCTTATCATTTTGTTTTGAAAATGATGAAAAATGGCAAAAATTCCTTATGAATTGACCTGGCGATTTTCATTGGTCCGATTTTCATTTATTATCAATTTGACTTTCATAGTTTTGTTTTGTTGTTGTTCTGTTTTTCTCTTTTCATGATTATAATGATAATGATTATTTAGAAAAAAAATGTTATTATTTTACTTTTACTTACTTACGTCAAACGGTAATATCTATTCGCAGTTTATATTTCGTAATTTTTGTTTCATCTCCCAAAGTCAAATAAGTAATAATAATATTTTTATTAAGAAAATACCTGTATACGAAAAAGATTATTGCCAATATTTACAATTCATTCATTCATTCATTGGCAATAATATCTATCCAATGAATGAAATTGAAGCAATAAAAAAGAAGAAAATATGAAAAATAAAGATTCCCAAGTTCAATATAAATTATCATTATGTAATAATGATGATAATGGCAGGAAAATTTATATACAAAACAAAAACAAAAGAAGCAAGAAAATTCTTTTGACCGAAAGAATATTCTAGTTTTCTAGTTTTGTCCAAATCAAACAAAAACGTATCATCCATATTTGATCAATATCAATGTTTACTTTTTTCATTTTTTTTGAAAAAAATTTTCAATTTTTTTTCTCTTCTCGGTCAAAGAAGACCAAAGAAGATTGGTAAACAAAATGAAAATTTTTTTCAATTTGATTGGATAGAAATGAATGTTTGGAAAGTTTACAGAAAAAAAAGTTTACACAAAATTTCTCATTTGGATCGAAAAAAATGAAATTCATTCGTTCCGATTCCAACCAAAATTAATAAATTAATAAATTCATTACAGAATCCCAAAAGGTTAATGATGTTTGATCCATTTGAATAATTTTTTTTTCTTGTTTTTAATTATAAATTGGTTATTTCATTGAAAATTCAAATTTATTTAGAATATTCGTTATACGAATTGAAGAAAAATATGAAAATACACATATTTGAAAATCATCATCAAATCAACAACAAGCAAGGCAAATAAAGTTATCAAATATTTAGGCCAAAATGAAACCAAAAAACGAAAAACTTTTATAAAGGCCATTGAGATTACATTTATAGAAAAGCTGCTGCCATCTATGTTTGGTGATTTGGAATTTATTTTTGTTTTTTTTTGAAAATTATGTGCGGGAGTTTATGTGTGTGAATTGAGTGAATGTTTTATTTATTTGGACATGGAATTCAACTTGAAGAATGCAAACACTTTTGATGCTTGTTGTTGTTGTTGTTCAACAACAACAACCGGTATATTTTCAACAACAACATCAATATCATCATCTGGATCATTAACATCGTTAGTAGAATTTATTGATAAAAATTTATGTTTACAATTTATAAATTTCAGCTGTTTATTCTTCCAATCCGATGATGATGGTGATGATGATGTTTGAGGTGATCGATGTAATTCTGATGATGATTGTGATGATTGTGTTGTTGTTGTTATAACCAATGGTATTGGTAATTGATCAATTTGTTCCAATGATTCTAATGATGATGATGAATGTTGCTTGCGAAGTGTTAATTTTTTGATTGAAGGATCAATCAATTCGTTATCGATGTCATTATCATCATCCTCTAGATTAGGATTTGTAATATTTGATTCTTTGATTGATGCTAAACAATAATTATATGGTTTTTGTGGTTGTTGTTGTTGTAATTTTTCCTGTATTTTTATTTTATCATTCGGATGATCATATAATAATGATTTATAATGTAATGGATTTCTTTGTTGATCATGATAATCATTATGATGATGATAATGTTGTTGATGATGATGATGATTACCACCAGTATGATGATGGGGATGATGATTTTCTTTCAATGTTTCACAGGATTTTATACAAATATTTAATTTTGTACAAATACAAACAAATAGATCACAAAGATCTGCCTATATTATAACGAAAAAAATGCAAAAAAAAAATCAATTAATTAGATACGTCATAGACAATGTAAATAGAAAAATCCAACTCAAATCAGATCTGGGTTGACAATTTTCATTTGAAAAAACGTTCAAATAAACATTGCCTATATGCATAAATGATACATACCCTAAAGCTTTTACTCATAAAACAATAAAGTATTGGATTGGCAAAACTATTTGCCATTGAAAGCCAATGACAAAGAAAAAATGATATATAATATATATAATAATTAGTCATTGAATCCAGATAAACAATCGATGGACGAAATGCAAGTATTAACATAAATATTTTTATTGGTAGCCAACAAATTATAAATAATACCAATACAGCAACTAATAAACGAAATACCTGTGTTTTTTTTTGTAAAAAAAAATTAGAAAAAGAAAATTAATTAGAATCCTTTACAGTAAACATTATTACAAACAAAACAGAAAATTATTCATAATAATAATCACAATAAGACCGGAATTGTGATTTGATCGATCCAAAAAAAAACAAAATTTGAATATTTATGACTTCTTTTTCATTTGTAAATTAATGTTGTTTTGATTGTTTGTTTGTAAATCTAACAATCAAAAACATGGTGATTTTTTCAATGTCAAGGTCGATTTCTTGTTAATAATAATAATAATAATGAAAAAACTGAAACGGAAAAAAAAGTTTCCGTCATCATCATTATTACTATTTGATAGGATTGGAAATTGGATAAAATCGATAGAGAGAGAGAGAGAGAAAAGTTTTCTTCCCCACTTTCCTTGTTTTTTTCGGAATTCTCCAATGACAAACAAACAAACAAAGCAAAAAAAAATCATGATTTTGTTACAAAATATTTGAATTCTCATGAATTTTTTTGTTGCTTCGTTTATAATCACCTGAATATTTTTTTTCTTTCTTTCTCTCTCTCTTTTTTTCATAGGAATCGAAGAAATTTAATCGAAGTTTTTTTTCTTCTTCTTCGTTTTTGCTCTTGAAAACATTGCTATTGAAAATGGTGATGGGGGAATTATTATCAAATAACCAGAATTGCTTAATTGAATCTGAATTTTGTTTCTTTTTTTTTCTCTCTCTCTCTTGATCAAAATCATTACAAATTTTGTTACGAATATTTGTTATTATTATTATAAAAGGATATTTTTAGTTTTCGTTCGTTCGTTAGATGATGTGAAAACAAAACTGATTTATAATTGTTTTTTGTTTTGTTTTGTTTTTTCTTGTGTATCATAATTGAGCCGGGGAAAAAATATTAAATCCCCAAAAAAAAAATTGAGAAAAAACAATCGCAAATAAACCATATTGAATAATTATTTTTGTTTTTCATTTCTTCTAAATCAAATCACATTGTAAATCCATCCATATTACATCATATTCAATAATGAAGATTTCGGGGAAAAAAAATTAATTTCGGGGGGAAAAATAATGATTAATTTTTCCCCCCCACACACACACTTTATCCGATTTACAAACATATATAATACTTACTCTCATTTTATTTAAAAATTCAGCATTACGTTTATCAAATCGTACAATAACTTTATTTTGATTTTTGTTATTGGATTTTTTATTCAAACTATTATTACTTGTTGTAACGGTTGTTGTATTATTATCATCATTACCATTACCGCCATTAGTTTGATGATGAACATTTGAATTTGATAATTTTGATATTTTAGTAAAATTTTTTCTTATTAATGATTTATTTTTTCGTGTTGTTGTTGTTGTTACCGATGGTGCTGCCACCGCTGCAGTTACTGTTGGATTATTATTATTATTATTATTGCCTTCATTATCAACATTACTAAGATTATGATTATGTGATGAATTACTATTATTATTACTATGTGTACGAGATGTTGAATTTTGATTATGACTATGATGACTATGACTATGATGATGACTACTGAATGGTATTGTTTGTCGATATGAACACCAATATTTTTGTGTACGCATTAAACGACGACCAATAGCACCATATGATATTGTCAGAAATATTATTGGCAAAACAAATGTCAATACGAATGATAATGTAACATAAATTTGCATATCTCGTTCAGCAACATCAACCCAATTAGCACAATCATAATATGTTTGACTATTATAATTAAATGCAACAACACGTGTATTTTGTATACTAAATGATGCTAATATTGAACCAAATATCCAACTTAATTGTAATACTAAATTACCATGTGAACGTAACCATGTATTTGCTGATGATAATGGATGTAATGTTGCAAAATATCTATGTATTTTTTTTGGGGGAAGGGGAAAAAGTGAAAAACATAATGAAAAATGAATGAATATTTGATTTGTTCATTAATTAACATTCATTTTTTTGTTTCAGGAAAAAAAAATTAAAACTTCAAACCCAGAAATATGACAGATATCTTTGTGTGTGTGTTTCTTTTGATCACGATATTTGTCTGGCATTTCCGACAAACATGTAAACATCGCCTACACACACACATCAAAAATCAGAATTTCTATATTTGCGTTTTTTTTCTTTGTTTGTCAAACCAAGCAAAAAATTCAAAGAAAAAAATTACATACCGTTCAATACCGATGAATGTTAATGTATATGTTGTCACGAATACTGACATTAATTGTACAAATTGTGTTACTGGACAAAGTAATGGATGAAATATCCAACGGCCCTAACGTTTTTTATTTTTGTAGATTTGATTTGATATAATACAAACAACAATGAAGAAAACAAATAGGAAATGATTGAAATTATTTGATATTTTCCATTTAAAAAACGATAGAAATAAGCAAAAAACATACCAGCATAATATCCGTATAAATAAATGGTGTAACCAATACACCTAATAACAGATCTGAAATAGCTAAATTGATAAGAAATTTTTGTAGATTTCTTGCTGAACGTCGGCCATATATTTCAACCAATATAACCAATGTATTACCGGTTAATGCAAAAAATGTTGACAATGAATATAGAATGACTAAAAATGTTTGACCAAACAATCCAAATGCTTCTAATTGTCCAATTTCAACAGTACCGGTTGATGTTTTCAAACGTACTGATGTTATATTATTTTTATCTAACCATGATGGATCAGCCATTTTTTTATTTATCAATTTTTTTTTCTTCGGTTGTTTTGGTTCAATTTCAATGGTTTATTCTTGAAAAACAATGCATCTGATAAACAAAAAGAAAGAAAAAAGAAAAAAATCAGATGATAAACAAACAAACAACAATTCTGTCTAAATAATTAATCAAATTAATCGATTGATTGATTGATTTTTAATTCCCCTAAAAAAAACAAAACAATAATTGGTGAACAAAAGAGAAAAACCGGAAAGAAAAGTGTTATGAAAAATTTATTCGTGAAAAACAAAACAAGAGAAAAACAAAAAAAAATCATCATATGTTCATTGAACTATGAATAATAATGATGTGGATGACGAAATATTAATCCATCATCATCATCTCGGGTGTTGAAATGCATCATATGTTTTTCATATATTTCAATATTTTGCATTTACCGTCGCATCCATTTTCATCATCATCATCATTATCTTTCTTATCATTTTTCTTTCTTTCTTTCGTTTTGGTCGCTTAAAAGCAACATTGTGTGATAAGAAAGAAAAAGTGACAGAATTTTTTTTTTGTTTTAATTAAAAATTCTCTCTGATAAACCTGATTGGAATATCATTATGATGGTAAAATATATTTTTCCAGGGAAATTTCTCTCACTGTGTGTGTGTTTGATTTGATTATCAGATCAGTTTTCATAGGAAAAAAAAAGAAACAAAAGAAGAAGAAGAAATCTGACATTTTTTTATTGAAGAAAAGATAAAACGAGAAATTCACTTACAAAGAACAAAAAAAAAAATCCAAATTTGATTCGATTTAAATTCATTCGGTTTGATCGATTCCAAAGAAGAAGAAAAAATTGAAATTTTTTTTTGTAGAAAAACTAATTAATTATAATTAATTTTTTTTTACAATTTTACAATTTCATTTGTGAAGAATTAAATTGACTATTCTCTTTTGAACGATTCTGGTAATGGTTTTGATTTTTTTATTTTTTTTCAATTAATTTTGAATTCGCTATCAAGAGAATCGAGAGACAGACATAGTAAACAAACTGGGAATAAATTTGTCAATTGGAAAATTTTTTTAATCTTTCTCTCGCATCCATTTTACCTTAAGGCGCTAATTTTTTATTTTTTTTTTGAAAACCGAAATCTACACATTGAATCTACAATGTTTAAATGCATTTCATTGGAAAAGATGAATATTTTATTTTTTTCAAAATTCCACATTAAATCAATTAGAAACTTATTACAGTAGTTGCAGTTGACCATTTCCTAGAATAGTAATAAAAAAACAAGAAACATTTTTTTACTTTTTATGCTATAGTCAAATATTCATTCATTCATCTGACATTTTGTTGACAACAGTGATTTTTTTCCATTTCCATTCATTCAGTAAAATAAATAATCTGGATTTTACTTAATAAATAAATGGAAATGGATAATTCGAAAAAAAAACTTGATTAAATTAGAAATGAAAAAGTTTTTTTTTCTCATCTCATTTCATTTTCTTACTGATTTTTCTAAAAAAGCACATAAGCCGATTTTCATGTTTGTTTGGATTGTGGTGTACAAAAAGTAATATCGCTTGTTTCTCGAGCTGACGTAATGATCAGAGAATTTTCAATATCTATTCATAATTATTTTTTTTTTTGGCCATAAAATTAGTAACAATGTTACGTTTGGTTTTTAAAATTATGAATTTTTTAACACAAAAAAAGTGAAAAAAAAATTTAATTTTTTTTCTTTATTTGAACATGTAAATTTTCCTTTTGGAAAATCAAAAATGTTTAAGAATCTTTTGTGTGTGTGTGTGTGTGTGTGTGCGGGGGTTAATTCAAATGTCATGAAATCAAAATCAAAATCAAAAGAAACCATAGCAGAAACCAAATTTTTTAATTTTATTTTTATAATTTCAAAAGAAGAAATGTACTTATTTTTTATAAAAATAAATAAAAGGAAAAAAATTAAAATTCTTACTTACTTTTTTTTTGGTTGATGAAAGTTCACAATAAAAATTCACAATAACAACAAAATAATGTGATTACAAAGCAAAACACACGGAGTGAAAAATTAATTTACTGGTAAAAACAAATCAATTCTGAAACAAAGAAAATTTGTAAACAAAACAACAAAACAAAAAATCATTTGTTGATGGAAAATTGATGGGAAAAAAAAGTTCAAAACTTGAATTTTTGTTTAGTTTTTTGAATATCTTTATCAATCAAACACTAGGTTATTATTGTTTTGTTTTTTTGTTGCATTTTTGAAATGACAGAATCTTGATTTGAATTTTGTTTGTTTGTTGACAAAATCAAATGTTTCAATGGAAATCGAAAATTCATAGCAAAACAAAATCATTTCATTCGAAACTGTGTGAAAACGATTGAAAACGAATAAAGTTTTTCGTTTTGGAAATCAAGAGTGAATCATTTGATTGATATGTCTGTGTGTGTGTTTTGTTTTGCTGTCAACATTCGTTTATATGGATTCTTTCGAATCTGATGAAGATATTCTACAATTGAAATTTTCGCCGATTCTTTGCTTCTTTCCTTTCGATTATAATAGAGAGAGAGAAAAAAAGCGCGCATTTGATCTGCAGATCTCGAGTTAATAATAAATGTAAATCATGCGCAGTCAGTATTTTTTTTTAATAATGAAAATTTCACAATAGAAAAAAAATTACTATAATTGGAAAACAATTTACCCAAAAAACAGTTAAGGGTTAATTGTCAGAAAAAAAACAATGTGCTTTTTGTGTTAATTAATTAACACAAAATTCAAATTCAGATTTTTTTGTTTTTGTTTTTTTTAATTAAACACTAATCCCCATTATACACATTTCGGGTAATTTTGCTGATCCAGAAATCAAATTGATCGGATATTCGGATATCGGGATTGAATCAATCGATTGAATTCGATTATTGCTGTTGTTGTTTTTGCGTTCGGTTGAACCTGATACATTTTGTTGTTCCAAAAAAATTCCATGTTCCAGGTTTCAATTTTCAGTTCATTCATGGGTTATACACACACACAAAACAAAACAAACGCAGAAACATTGATCATTTGATCACTTGATTTTTCTGTTTTGTTTTTCCTTTTTGGTCACATTTTCCTTCTTCTTCTTCTGCGTTTTTCATATTGCACTTAACCTCGATAAGGTTTCCTTTTCATTCATTCTTTTATTCTTGAACTATATTTAATCATTGGAAAACAATCAAACTTTCACTGGAAAACAATCATTCTTTCTTTCTTTTGTAAGAAAGGGAAAAAGTTGTTTTTGTTCCAAGTTTTGTCAAAATAGAAAATATCTTGAAGCGGAATAAAACAAACCAGAAAAAGATTTTTTTTGTTTACATTTCTTTGATGTTGTTTTCAAATTTGCAATTCAAACATCTTTTACCCACCTACACACACTCCAAAGGTATCAAGGTAAAATTTTTTCGTTTTATTCCAGGTGTGTTTCAGGTGGGAGCAAAATTCATTTTTTTTTTCTTATTTTTTCATCCGGGAATATCGATAATGTGTTAACTTTTATCGATTTGGGAGAAAAAAGTGCTGGGAAACAAATGAAACAAAAAACCAATGGTAAAAAACCTATGATTTTTTTCTTCACAAAGAAACAAATTCATTTTTGTCATTAAATTGTCATTATCATTATCTTACCAAATATTGATTTGATAATCAAGTTGGCAACCGAAAAAAAATTGACAAAATAATTACCGGAATCAATGTGAAACACACATTCGGTATTCAGTATTCGGGATTCTTCAAAGTACATTTCAAACAAAAAAAAATTACATTGATTAATTTTAATCGAATAACGTTATATTCTTATGTGTGGTGGGTAAATGATAATTTTCGTTTCTTCACCCATTTTTTTTATCAAAAGTTTCGTGGAAACAAATTCTCAGGAGAAAAAACAACAACCAGCAACCAGCATTCTTTTTTTGTTTTTCGGGCACGTCATTCCATTGCTTTTTTTTGTTCCCGAAAAAGATGGATTTTTGTTTTTCTGGTTTTATTTTTATCTTTTTTTTCTGGCCAAAATCGATGAACAACATTGTTGTTGTTTTGGAACGATCAAAATCTAGGAACGAGGTCGAAAAAGAATAAGAAAAAATGCTTTTCTCCCTCATATGATTCTGATGAAAGAATCTTAAGATGAAGAAAAAAAATGTGATTGAAAAAGAAAACAAAACAAAACAAAATCTGCTACATCTGCTGATCTCCTGAAAATACCTTTCGGTCTTTGGATTTGACAATGTTGCAAACAAACAAAACAAAACAAAACAAACAAACAAACAAACAAACAAACATAATCGTCACCTTTAGTTAGTTATTCTTCATGTAAAATACATTCTATATTTACATTACAAACTTTTTTCTTCTTTTTTTTTTGAAAGAAATTCAAAAAAAAACATTTTCAAAAATCCATTCTTAATTCCATCGATTTGGAAGAAAAAAAAACTAAAATTTATTATTCACCATTCATCGATATTAGATCAGTAAACTTTTATGTCAGAATCATATATTGAATTCTGAATGAATTTGTTTGTTTGACAAACAAACAAAAAAAAAACTACATACAGAATAACAAAAGCATAATGATAATAATAATGTCGATAAACGTAAACATTATCCAAATAGAGTTATTATATATATTTTTTTCTGTTTGTTTATTTATATTTAATGATGATGGTAATGGTGATGAAAATTTTCATTATTAATATTATCATTTTTATTATTATTTTCATTTGGAAAACAATCAACCCTAGAGAGTGAAAAATGAATGAAACAACAAAAACAACAAAATGATTGATGACTGTAATTGATCTGTTTTTTTCCCCTTGTCATCATCATCCTTTCAAACCGAAAAAAAAACAAAACAAACATCTTTTTTTTTCATTGGAAAAGCCCTTTATTTTGTTGAAAGTAAAATATGAGATTTTGATATGATGATTGTGTTGATTTATCCTTGTTTGAATCATCATCATATTTTTGAACCGAAATGAAAAAACAAACATATGATGATGATGATGATCAAGGATGATGATCCAACTGATTCATCATCAATTGATGAAATGATCCTGGTGTTTGGATACAAAATAAGGCAAGGCAATGCATTTTTTTTCTCCATACTTCATTTTTTTAATATCCTGCTGTATTTCCACTGAAACAAAAATCAGTTTTTTTTTGTTTTCGATCATCATTTTCATTTGTTTTTTTTTTTGGTTTTCAATTACGATTGTTTGTTTTTCGGTTTTTTGTGTGTTGGTTTCAAGGTTTCCCGGTTCCAACATTCAATACACACACACACAGGAAAAACAAAACAAACATTAAACATTTATCATTTTTTGATTTTAATATTCAATAATCATTATCATCGAATTCATCATGATTTGAATCTGTTTGAATCTAAGAAAATTTTAATCTTTTTCGCGGCAAAAAAAAAATGTCAAAAGTTTTTCCTGATTTGGTCAACCATCATTATCATCATTATTATTTTCAAAATTCTTGTTTGTTATGCGAATTTTTGCCTTCAGTTTTTTTGTTTGGCCTCCAACGAACATCACAACAAACATTCGATTTTCGTTTCTCAACTGTGCTATATTTAGACCTTGATCCAAATCGTTTTTAAATCGTTTATTATTATTATTATTTTGTTTTATTGCTTAATTCTTTCATTCGCGGGTGTGAGAAGCGAACAAAAAAAAAAGAAGAAACAGAAAACAAAAAAACAAAAAATTATAATAACATTCCCGGATTGGCTAAAAACAAGACCAAAAAACAAATTCAATGTAACTTTTTTTTTCAAAAAAAAAAAAAAAATGTTTGAAAATCACATGAATTGAATGAGAAATAAAAGAAAGCAAATCCAAACCGAAAAATCCTTTCCAAAAA